GGAATGTAGTGTACATAGTAGGGCTGAAAGAAGAGTTTGTAAAGGTTCTCTTTTAACTATCATCTACAACTTGCACAAAGATAGGTTCCAAGAAATAATTCAACCAGTGGAAAATACATTATATATATATAAAATGTATTTTCCACTGGTTGAATTATATATTGTGGCAGTGCGGTATCCTGCCATGGTCTAAATCAAGGTTATAACCCAGGATTCTCAACTAAACAGGTTGAGGGGCTCCAGGCAGTTTGCTTAATGCAGAGGAAACCGGTTTGTCAGTTTCCTCGTTGGTTCGTAAAGCCCGTTTTGGGACCTGGGGCCTTGAAATTTCGAAGTGATTTGAGAGGAATGAAATCTCCAATCCTGAGTCCATGTTTTGTGAACAGCCAGCACACTGATTACACAGGTGTGTGCAGGCCTTTTTGTAGAAGTCTAACCATGGTCCTGGGCTCCACAATGGCAGACAGGAGGTCATGCCCAGGAGTCAGGAGGGCTCCACCTAAGAGAGGTGGGTGCCAGCGCAGCAAGGGGCTGCTAGCTGTGTACCTGAAAGAGCCGTTTAGAAAAGAGTCTACAGGAGACAGACGTGGCTTGAGGTGGAAGGCCAGAAGCAGCAGGATTGTATGTATGAGCCAGGAGGCTAAAATATGTGTTTGGAAAAGAGAAAACGGCCCTTAAAAACAAGAAAGCGAGTGGCGGTGTACTTTAAAGCTCTATCCTTGATGCTAGTTCTCACTATATATATATATATATATATATATATATATATATATATATATATATATATATATATATATATATATATATATATACTGCATTTATATATACAGTATATAGTCTTGGAAATGTGTCAGAGGTCCATGTAACCAGCATGCTAAAAAGGAGGAGCTTCTGCCTGACCAGCATTGACAGCTAATATTACAGTGGCATTTACGTGTTCAAATAGACCTGTTCCCTTCAAGAGTATTTCCAAACTCTCTCCTCAAGTTCAACCAACAGTACTCCTAATTGTGGATATCCCACACAGGTAGCATTGATGACATTGTAATTAGCCAGCTGTGCGCAAGGCTACTTACAAACCCTGTACAGTTGTTAGGACTTGAGGACAGGTTTGGAGCACACTGCTCTATACATTAGTTAAAATCTTGGTCTATACCCACAAAAAAAGGAAGAACACAAATAAGAATCTATATATATTCAGCAATGAGGACAGTCAGGGATGCTGTTAGAAACCACAGGACCCCATACAGCCAACCTGACAGGCCCCCCTCCCCCCCCCAAAAAACAAAGTTTACTATGCTTCAGTTATGAATGAACACATTGAGTGATCGGCACAGATCACTCATTGTGTTCATTCAGGAAAGAAAGGGCTGGTAAATATGACAAATTTACCTGACCCTTCTCTCTACTCTCCACCCTGAACCATCCTGAAGGATCCTATTGTGTTCTTGCAGCCTGGGCAGCAGGGGGAAACACACAGGGAGAATGATGGGTGCGGTTGGGGGAGGGGCAATTCCTAGAACCGATCCCCAGCTCTGCAGCAGCTGAAAACCAGCGGGAAGGAGAGAAGAAGAATCCATCTTCCAGCTGCTGCAGAGAGAGCCATACAGGGGATCGGTTCCAGTAATTGCCCCCCCACCATGCCGATCACCCTCCCTGCCCTCATCTGATTCATCCAGCTACCTGGGCCCCCCTGTGTGCAACCATTCCTGGGTGAGCCCCGTACAGGAGAACTGGTGGTACCCCCCTTATCCACAGCCCTGTGGACAGTCTGCAGTTTTGAAGATAGAGCAGGCTGGCATTTTACACCAGGAATTTGTGTGACAGTGCCCATGTTTGGACACTGAAGATTTGCAAGACAGCTTTGAAGCCTTCATTGTCAAGGCCACAATTTATGAGGAAGAGAGTAACTGTATGCAATTTGCCAAAAATAATTGACTTCCTTTTTCAGGCAATACAGATTTGATGTATACCTTTGTTAAACCTTTTCAGACTGAATATCATTTCTGTGACAAAGAGATTAAGCAAACAGATTGCATTTTACAATTATTTTTTTTTTTCATGCTGAAGAAGGAAAAATTACCCTCCAAAACATTATATATTTTTTGAAAGCAGAGGCTCTGGAAAATAAAATGATGATTGTTGCAATTGTTTATATTGCATGACATTTTTGCAGCTATTTATCACGCACAAATTTTCATATTTTATGCACATTTTTGATTCTTAAGAAAAGGCAATTTAAGAAAAAGAATGGTTTTTAAGAAAAGGAAATTTAGGATGCAGGGGGATGTCACTTCAGCCATCAGTTTTTCAATCAGAATATTATTTTTCTGACATACCGTATATACTTGAGTATAAGCCGGGTTTTTCAGCACATTTTTTGTGCTGAAAAACGGCCCCCTCGGCTTTATACTCGAGTCAACGTCTGCAGATGACATGCCGTCCCTGTCATCTGGACACCGGGATCAATCCTCGCCGCTCCCTCCCTCTCCCATGGTACACACTTACCGGTCAGATGTCTTCCGCTCTCCTCCTCTTCACTCGCTCGATTTTCGCGGTGCCGCTCGGCTCCTCCTCTCCAAGCTCCACCTCCTCGCTGGTGATTGGGCGCCTGTGTGCCTCTCCTGAGCTACAGTTCCGGCGGCCAATCACCTGCAAGGAGGTGGAGCTTGGAGAGGAGGCGAGCGGCACCGCGAAGATCGAGCGAGTGAAGAAGAGGAGAGCGGCCGGAGAAGGAAGACATCTGACCGGTAAGTGTGTACCATGGGAGAGGGAGGGAGAGGGAGGGAGCGAGCGAGCCCAGGCTGGAGCAGGGGTCACCAATGATGGGGCACTATTCCTCCCCCCACTGACACCAACGATGGGGCACTATTCCTCCCCCCACTGACACCAACGATGGGGCACTATTCCTCCCCCCACGGACACCAACGATGGGGCACTATTCCTCCCCCCACTGACACCAACGATGGGGCACTATTCCTCCCCCCACTGACACCAACGATGGGGCACTATTCCTCCCCCCACTGACACCAACGATGGGGCACTATTCCTCCCCCCACTGACACCAACGATGGGACACTATTCCTCCCCCCACTGACACCAACAATGGGGCACTATTCCTCCCACACTGACACAAATGATGGGGCACTATTCCTCCCCCCACTGACACCAACGATGGGGCACTATTCCTCCCCCCACTGACACCAACGATGGGGCACTATTCCTCCCACACTGACACCAATGATGGGGCATTATTCCTCCCCCCACTGACACCAACGATGGGGCACTATTCCTCCCACACTGACACCAATGATGGGGCACTATTCCTCCCCCCACTGACACCAATGATGGGGCACTATTCCTCCCCCCACTGACACCAACGATGGGGCACTATTCCTCCCCCCTCGGCTTATACTCGAGTCAATAGTTTTTCCCAGTTTTTTGTGGTAAAATTGGGTACCTCGGCTTATATTCGGGTCAGCTTATACTCGAGTATATACGGTATACTGTTCTGTGCTCACATACATTTCCCTGTGAGTAACTCGACATGCAGTTAAACCCTCATATTCTGCAACAAGCCAGACTGAATGTAATCTTGTAGCTTAATTAACAGGGCGGGTGAAACTATTAGGAAAAAACTGATAAGAAATACATACAATCAATGTATGAAGCACACAGAAAACATGAAATGATTAAGCTGTGGATGGCAATAAGCGCATGCTCACTAGCGATGCTGCCTTTAGGGGATATAAGTTCTGGTTTCTGCAAAACTGAATTTATTCTGGATTTCATCTGTTGGTCAAATGTTATATTGCAGGCTGAAGTTTCCTGCTGGAGGCAGAACATAGATACAGTAATCTAGAAATCATACCGATTTGCTGCACAGAAGGTAAATAGCTGCCACTAGAGGCAATTTGAGAGGGATAGAGCAGGCAGACTGCATCTGTAAATCAACAAATTACACTTTCTCCTGTGGGCAAAGAGAATGCTCATCCCTTAATAAATGCATGGGAACTTCTGCTTCTCCCTGTAGGCCTGCCAAATATGATGCTAATAATGTGGGGGTTATTCCTTACATTTATTTGCAGCTTTTGGAAGAGTTGTATGGGGGATATTGATGCTTGGGTGCACTGTAAACTGTGGTGCTTTGATGGACTAAACAGATCCTCAATGATCTGTTCTGCTCTGCTGTAAACTAAGTGCAGCTGTTGAAGTGACATAAACAGATTCAGGCTGCTGTTGTTGCTGCCAACATGACGTCACTCCTGCGCATGCGTGGGTGTTCATTCATCTCGGCATGGAGCTGTGTGTACAGGGCTTACTGACTGTGCATGGTAACCAACCAGCTTCTAACTTCAGCTTGTTCAATTAAGCTTTGGTAATAAAACCTGGAAGCTGATTGGTTTCTGTGCACCAGATTTTGCACTCTGCAGTCTTAGTAAATAACCCCCTTGGATGTCTTTTCTGCATTAAAAATTCAGTCTGTTGCCAATTTTTCTTTTACCTAAAGTTCCACTTTAAGGAAAAAAATAAAAGAGGACTAACTATTGACGAAAAGCAAAGTAACACCCCAAAATAACAAAAAAGGCCACACAAACTGCAATTCACTGCAAAGTAACAGTAGAAAATATACAGCACCGAATATAGTACTGTACATAGCACTTAGTATTACATAAAGCACAAAGCAGTAGCAACATACTGCACTACACTAAACAACTCTCTCTCCCTGAAAGACTGTCAGCTATCCATCACTAATGTCAAGTACCTGGTTGGGGAGCCTGACATGGAGAGGAGGCGTCCTCTTACCACTCCTGCTCGGAGCCCCTGATAGTGGGAACAGAGGGTGCCGAGCCAGGAGTGGCACAAGTGCCGGGTAGGTCCGGAGCTGGTGGCAGCAGCAGGCAGGTATGGCGGCAATCATGATGCATACTGGGAACGGACACAGGAGCGTGGATGCGGCAGCAAGCAGGTATGATGGTGACCAGGATGCAGGCCGGATACAGGACCATGGGTGCAGCAGCAGGTAAGTATGGCAGTGACCAGGATGCGGGCCAGGTGCAGGACCATGGGTGCAGCAGCAGGTAAGTATGGCGGTGACCAGGATGCAGGCCAGGTGCAGGGCCATGGGTGCAGCAGCAGGTAAGTATGGCAGCAATCAGGATACAAGCCAGGTGCAAATACAGGTAAATAGATGCAGCAGAGTCAGACAAGCCGGGTCAAGATCAAACGAGCAAATCAAGTACAAGGAAGCAGGCAGGTGGATAGTCAGGGATAGGTCGGGGTCAGTGCAGGCGGAGTTCTTTCTTAGTCAGGTCAGATCAGATACAGGCAACAGAATTATGTTATGATGTGCAGAACGTTATAGACCAGAAGGCATTGACTAAACTGTATTGCAGGTTTAAATAGCCTGCCTTGTGATGACGTGTACGCTACTGCGCATGTGCGCGCGCTCGCACCGCTACGGCCTGAGGGGATCCAGCACCGTCGCACAGCTGCACGGAGGTATCCCTGACAACTAAACTGTAAATTATAACTTTTTTTAGGACAAATTGGGCATTTAAAGGAAATCTGGCCCAAAATAGTGAAAACATTTTTTTTTCAAACTTTAGCATGCCATCGCCATTGCCAGACATGTGGATAGAGCAGGCCCCCCCCCCCCCCCCCCCCACTCCTTTTTTCTGCATTTGTTTACACTATAGTTCCATTTATATCAGCTTTCCTGGTGAGCACATTCTGAAGTGCTACTGACAGAAGGCTGGAACATAAATATCTCGCTCCACACTGTCCAGCTGTATGCCCCTTATGATGTCAGATTGAGGAAACATGTAGGGTGTGGTCTGGATATGGAGGACGGAGATCCAGGAGAGAAAGAGCTGTGCATGGGCTGGCTGGGTCAATTAATTTTGGGATAGATGCAATTGCTTGAACTAACAGCAGCACTTGTGCAATTTTAAAGTGATAACCCTGTTTTTTATTCACTCATATGAATGTAATTTTTAACTCCTATCTTAATTTAAAAAAAATTATACAGTGAGCACTATGCCAGTTTCATTCTTTGTTTGAGAGAAAGATTTATCCTACAATACTAGAATCTTTGATGCTTGCTGGTATAAACAAGGCAATACCTGGAGAGGAAAAGGGTGATTCCTGAGCTACGAAGCCTGCATTTACCAAAAGTGTTATATGACCTTTACTATAAGAGTCAATGTCAGAAGGTGGATGTCTTCTTTGCACGTTATATTGTCATTTTATGCTATATTCACTTCTTTGTGATGATTCATCTGATTGAAATCTTCAGTGAATTGGACTTGCAGCCTTTCATTTTGTACTAAGTACTAAGTTATTTTGTAGACTTGTGTATATTTTTGTGATTTTCGCATTTTTTGCTTGATCACACATGTATATAAATTCCAATTGTAAGTGATACTTTTGGTTTTTTACTCTGTGGGGTTAAAGAGCACAACACTTTTCAGATAATGTCTGCATATAAAAAAATGTTTTCGGCAGTTGTCAGAGGCATATCTGAACTTGAAGAAGGTTTGTTATATGCAGAATTGGTCATACTCTCACGACTCCCACTCATGTTGTGCAGGTTTCTTTACTAGTGGTGCTGTGCCACCCATAAAGAGGGGGTCATATTCTTAATTTGGTGATTATTGATGTCACATAGTGTACAATTCCTGTGAAATCATTCTTTGGATTCTAAGAAAAAGCAGCTGTCTTTCAAAGCCGTTCAAACACTTTTCTGTTTGGACTAAGCAGGTCTTCTCTCAGGGTCCAGGTCATGCAAAACTCTCTAGACTTAGGAAAATTGCAAAAGCATTGTGTATCTGTAATGGCAATGCTGGGTGCAATAACTAAAAGCAAGTCATATACACACACACACACAATTGACAGATAGTCACACACAGGTACTTTTAATCAACATTTACCCTATTACATATTCTACGCATGTGAAAGACTACCAAATGAACTCCTGCCCTGGCACATCATAGCATTCACTCGGCACTCCAAGAAATACAGAATTCAACTGCAATATTCTTGCACTGTCAAAAACCTCCACTTTTATTATCACACGACACACAGGAGGATATATCTTAGTCATCACAATCTGCATAATAACACACACCAATAATAATGTGGGCATTACAACATGAAATAGACACATCATTTGACAGCGTCACAGCATAGAATTAATACATTACCAAAGCTATGTGAAGGCGGGAAGGAACAGATCCCATCAGAACCATACTGCACAGGGGGTCATGGGGAAGCTGTAATCGCAACCAATCAATGAGTCCATATAACTTTGGCAAGATTCCCAGCGTCAGAGCGTCCCTTGTCTGCTAGGAGGGCTTCCTAATCGATCCCGTTTGGACTCCCGGCTTTTAAACCATTTTCCTGGCAGCTTTCCATAAGTGAGTGGGCACCACACCCTCTCTAGGAGGGGCTAGCGGAAAGGTTCCTTGAGGACAACAGAGTCACACTCAGCCACCATATTGAGTCCACATCGTTATCTGAAAAGTCACACTTTTACTTCAGATCAGCTTCTTAGCTACCCTAAACTTCTTCTCATCTACCCTAAACTTCTTCTCAAGCAAGTAGACATCTTTAAACAAGTTCTTATCTTCTAATGTGACATTCAATCCCACAAGCACGTTTTTTTATCTTGCTTTAAGCAGAATATCTTGTGACTCTGTTCCTTTAGCCAAGAGAAATTACATCAGTCACTTCTCATGCTCCTGGCATCTGGACAACAATGCTTCATTGTAAAAATTAACCAAGAAACAAAGAGTCCAAGGTCAGCACATTTCATAGGCATTACAGTATCATATTTAGTTCCACTGTACACCAGTCAAAGGAACTGTATAGTGATCTACCTTACTGCTTGTCAATAAAGCTGTAAGTGAGAAAAAAAAGCTTCAATCTTCAAGCTTTGACATAATACATCCTTATCTCATTCCTATGCAAATCTTTGAAACTACTAGTCCAGTTTTGTGGCGAATGGCGGAAATAATCAAAAAGCAAAATCTGACATGAAAGATTCAATTGTAAACCTAACTACACTGGTGAAAAAAATGTCACAAAGGCAAGCATTACCCCAGAAAATTCTGCCAATGCTGCAATTGAAAGCCATTTGCCTTAGAAAAGGCCCACAAGGAAAAAAGAATGTCTGTAGAATTGTCAGAGGATATACCCCTTTTTAACTTCCCCCCTCGGTTTCATTATCAGTTTTTCTATGTAGTCATTGATCAGGCAACAACTCAGTTGACTGGTGTTTATAATGTTCAAATTTAGGTTATAATTTAAAATTTCAAAGAAAATTATCTAGTTCCAAAAAAAACATACCCTCCTTCAAATATCACTGATGATTAAGTTGAGAAGTTGACGTGAAATGTATAGCATGTGAAAATTGTTCTACTGGTTGCTAAATGATTTCGTATGATCATAACTTGCAGTCTGCTGCATATACAAACCTTTCAGCAGTATATAAAGTACTTATTACTCTACTGAGCACAGAAAGGATATCAACAGAAATTTAGTTCACGGTGACATCCTTAATAAATGTGCCTTAATAAATCATTAACATGTATTTCCCCTCTTTGCAGTCAACTTTGAGAAAACCCTACCAATATGTTTGTTATGTGGTCCTATTCACACACAACATACCTAAAAAAAAAACTAAATAAATATTTCTTACCTTTTCAATGTCTCTTAGGTGAAGGTGTCATGGCTGAGTGCAATAATTTTTCAAGAAATTTGCTGTGATCTTTATATCCCAAAGAAAGGCTGGGGACTGGCTAAGTCCAACTCTCATAAACATGCAATGTAGTAGTCCAGCTTCTAAGTGTTTAACCCTTTGTTAAGATACAGTGTTTAAATCTAGTTTACCACTGATGTGATATCTGCCAGCACAGTATAGGCAGGGTTAATTATGGGCAAAAATATCTCTTTACAGTGTTAGAGTTTACAGAAAAGAGCATCTAAAACAGGTGAGCAGCAATTTGTTTTATTATTTTTTAAAGCTACGCTCTGTGATTGGAGACATGTAGCAAAATACTGTATACAGCAATGGTCTTCAAACTGCAGCCCGGGGTCAGATGCAGCCCTTTGCTTGCTTTATCTGACCTCTGGGGAAATTGTACCTCCCACTAAAACAAGACACTGTTCCTCCCACTGATACCAACAATGGGGCATAATTCCTGCTACTGGCATCAACTGGGCACTATTCCTCCCACTGACACCAATGATGGGGCGCTATTCATCCCATTCACACCAATCATGGAGCACTATTCCTTCCACTGACACCAACAATAGAGCAATATTCCTCCCACTGACACCAATAATAGGACACTATTCCTCCCACTGACACCAACAATAGAGCAATATTCCTCCCACTGACACCAATAATAGGACACTATTGCTCCCACTGACACCAACAATGGGGCACTATTCCTCCCGCTAACACCAATGATGAGGCTCTAAACCTCCCAGTGACACCAACGATGGGGTGCTATTCCTCCCCCTAATACCAAAGATGCATTGTTTACTCCCTCTGATGCCAGGACAATTTATTTTCCTGATGACCACAGTCCAGCCCCCCTAAAACCTGAAGGACAGTAAATTAGCCCTTTGTTTAAAAAGTTTGGAGACCCCTGGTATACAGTATACTGTATACAGTACAGTACAATATAGTAGGTATTAACCCAATTTGGCTGCAAAAGTGGAAATACACTTTAAAGCTAAACACAAAGACTACGGTCAACAAACTCCAGGAAATTTAGATTATTAAGAGCCAACATAGGTTGCAACAATTATATTTGGGGCTAATCTTTTCCTTAGCCTATACTGTTCTTACATCAAACTGGCAGTGGGGTTGATTTACTAAAACTGGAAAGTGCAAAATCTGGTGCAGCTCTGCATAGAAACCAATCAGCTTTCAGGTTTTTTGACAAAGTTTAATTAAACAAGCTGAAGTTAGAAGCTGTTTGTCTACCATGCACAGTCTTTGCCTAGTGCCTTTTCTTTTTCCTGAGCTAAATGGCTTTTGGCAGCTCAGATAGTTATAAATGAGTTGTTTCTAATTTTATAAATCTATTCCTACCTAAAGGTGAGGGAGTGCAACCCGATGTTGCATCATTGACTTGGCAAGTTGGCACTGTCTTGCCTAGTGAGAGTTTTGCTTTTCCTATGGTATGTTTTTCAGTGACTCAAACTGTTAGGAGTTATTCCAAATCATTTAACTATGAGTATGATTTAAATAACTCAGGTAGTAAATAAATAATATCCTGTTGTAGTTAGCTTGTAGATAGTTAGCTTGTTAGCTTGTAGATAGTTTTATGTTTACCGCTTCCCGTCCG